TGTGTCAGGCTCTGTGCTGACCGTGTGGAGCCTGCTTGGGATTCTGAGTCTCCCTCTCTCTCCCCTCCCCACCACTGTCTCTCTCTCAAAAATAAGTAAGTGTTAAAAAAAAAAGTTTAAAGTCCAGTAAGAAAAGAACTCAGTCAAGGGGCCGCCCCCCCTACACAGAGTCACTGCTCTTAGCTCACCGAGCTGCCCTCATGTCAGTCCCCTTCCCTGGTGGCCTGATGGCCCAGTAAGAAAAGGAGAGAAGCGAGACCAGCTAAGGGGGCAACAGCCAAGCATGACTGATCTGCCTACACAACATACCATGGCCCCTTGCCCTAAGCCAGTTTCTTCAAGACGGCTTGATTTTTTTTTTTAATGACAGAAATTCTACCAGTTCTAGAATCACTTGAATCAACAGATATATTCTGGATATAAATATAAATAAATCTGGAGGAACTGCCTTAGGTATATCTACGGAGAGTTGAAGCGCTTCACTACCTTCCCGGTTTCAGCTGAGATCTACTCCCGTGGGAGTATAATTTGCTGGGTCTGGAGACTGGGCTTTGGGCTGGGAGAGGTGGGTGGAGAGGCTTTAGTATTTTTCTTTTTTTTTAAGTTTATTTATTTATTTTGAGAGAGAGCGCGTGCACAAGTGCAAGTGGGGGAGGGGCAGAGAGACAGAGACAGAGAGAGAGAATCCCAAGCAGGCTCTGAACCATCAGCACAGAGCCCGACTTGGGGCTTGAACCCATGAACTGTGAGATCATGACTTGAGCTGAAATCAAGAGTCAGATACTTAACCAACTGAGCCATCCACGCTCCTCAGTATTTTTCAAATTGTACCGAGATTCTACTCATCTTCCCAAAAAGGGATAGGGAAATTAAGGAAATGTTTCATTTGCCCAACACATCACCAGCACCAAGGCCGGCCCCTTACATAAACTGTCTTGGTTGAGTCTCATAAGCTCACATTGCAAGATGGACGTTGTTACACCCATTTCACGGTGGAGAAAACAGGCTCAGAGAGGTCAAGTATTTGCAAAAGCTCACACAGCTAGCAACTGGCAGAACCGCCTCACAACCATGTTCTGTGGACTCCTTGGACTCTCTTCATCCCTTTCCTTCTCCCCGCACAGCCTGGCTGTCTGCTCACAGGGCCCAGAATTAAGGAATGAAAAGGGTATAAAGTCTCCTTTGCTCTGCTAGCCTAGAACTTTTGACCCCAGACCTTGGAAGACCTTTTCCCAAAGAAACAACTAACCAGCGGACAAAGGAAGGAACCTTTGGAATATTAGCTGTACTCTGGCTACCATAAACAACTTAAAAAAAAAAGTTCTGGGGCGCCTGGGTGGCTCAGTTGGTTAAGTGCCTGACTTCAGCTCAGGTCATGAGCTGTGAGGCTTGTGAGTTCGAGCCACGCATCGGGCTCTCTCCTGTCAGCACAGATCCTGTTTGGATCCTGTTTCCCTCTCTCTCTGCCCCTCCCCCACTAGCTCTCTCTCAAAAATAAACATT